TGCATGGGGTTGCTATGAGTCGGTTCTGACTTGATGGCACCTGACAACAACAACAACAGGATAAGCACTGGACCCCAAAGTTTCTTTGAACCACAAGGTCGGTGTTACAAATTCACCAGCCACCCCTTGGAAATCCTATACAGTGTGGCTATGAGTTGGAATCAATTGGGTGATACTCCACAGCAACAAAAAGCCTATAAGAGGCATGTAAGGACCCTATATATGAAAACTCTCTCACATGAAGAAATAAAGGCTGGTATTGGATACCACAGTTCAGAGTTCAGAAATGATGCAAAGGTGAAGTTACCTTGAAGCTACTTCATCAGAAATACGAAGGCACTGCTTACAGGGGGCTTTTCCCAAAGACCTAGCCAGAGACATAGGAAGGCACATATCTTAATGAAATTCCACTTAAAAGCTGGTAGAGCATCTTAGTTTTTGTAAAATTTGAAAAAGTAAAACCATTCTGCTTACTTTTGATTAAAAAAAAGCCCACCAAATCAGAAAAGGTTTCTGCTAGTACTGTAAAAAGAAGGCAATATAGCAACACAGTAAGAAAAGCTGGGAAGGTAACACTGAACTCATTATATATGCTTGCAAGACAAGATTTGCATAAGAAAATGCCAAAAATAGCTACTATGATTTCTGAAGGGGAAAAAATTGTTTTATTTTTGTTTTGTTTTGTTTTTTTAACTTCTGCCAAGTAATAGGAAATTCAGTTACTCAAACAACCTGAATTCTTGACATGCAAGTGAAAAATCTGTCAGAAAATATTTCAGTACATCTCATCTGCTTTTCTCTCACCATTTATTTCACACATTAAAAAAAAAAAAAAAAAAACATGAGCTAAGAAAAACTGAATGATCATTACAATCACATAGGTGATCTTTTGAAATTGGAATGGCTTTGAAAATGGCAAAAATTTAGTATTTTATTGTAGTATAATGGGTATCTGGTCATGCTGATAACCTCAAGGTCAGCATTTTAGAACTACCAGCAGTTCTATGGGAGAAAGATGAGGCTTTCTGCTTCTATAAAGATTTACAGCCTCAGAAACCCTGTACAGGGTCATCACTGTGAGTCAGAACCGACTCGCCATCACACCACCACCACTAACTACCATTGTTTGTGTTAAGTACAGAATGGATATTTTTGCATTTGATATTTTCAGCACACACAAACTCAGAAATCACTGTTTACATGCAATTTGTTCATAATATTATAAATAATTAGACTTTGTGGCAGAAAAATAATGACAGCTTTCCTACAATCAACCTATTTCTGAAAGACTACAATGAATAACAACAGCATTTGTTAAGCACACACAATTTGGGTCAGAGAATTAAGAATTTAAAGCATCAGTTAGCAAGTCACTAAAAGCTAGTTTGCAATTTATATAATGCCATAAATCTCCAATACGAAAAGAGCCTTGAAGGAAATCCACAGACTGCTAGAATTGTGAGGGATCCTGGGAAGGAGACAACTTCTTTAGGAAGAGATGGCTTTTATTAAAGGTTGGAGAGTGAGTGGAATTGTATAATACCAGGTCAGATTGGGAAAGAATAGTATTATAAGTTGTTGTTGTTAAGTGTCGTGTAGTCGGTTCTGACTCATAGTGACCCTGTATAAGGTTTTTGAAGAGCAGCTGGTGAGTCTGAATGATCAACTTTGTGGTTCAAACTGACATTGTGGTCCAGGGCTTATCCTACAGCACCACCCCAGGATGCCAATATTGTAGGAACACAGACATAAATAAACAAGAAGTCATATCTGGGCTGTCTACAACTTCTACTCCTGGAGACCTTATTTAATAGACTTATCCTGAGACCTACAGAGTTTCAAAGTTGGCTAGAATTTGAAACTTTGTCCTTCCTTTATTATTACACCCTCTAAGATTTCCTACCACCACTCCTCTGTCAGTTTGTCATACTGTGGTGGTTTGAGTGTTGCTGTAATGCTGGAAGCTATGGTACCAGTATATTAAATACCAGCAGGGTCACCCATGGTGGACAGTTTCAGCTGAGCTACCAGACTAAGCTAGAATAGAAAAAGGAGAGGCGGACTACTTCTGAATGGTTAGCCACTGAAAAGCTTATTAATAGCTGCAGAACATGGTCAGATACAGTACCAGAAGATTAAAACATTATGAAGAACACCAGAATATTGTCAGATACAGTGCTAGAAGATGAGTCCTCAGGTTGGAAGGTACTCAAAAATACATCTGAGCAGGATGTGTGCAAGAGAGATAGTGAGGTCAACCAATTTGGGTTTAGCTACTGGAACTGTTTGGAGTCCTGGTATGGTGCTGTGGGATAATGCACTGGACCACAAGGTCGGTTTGAGCTGCAAGATCGGTGATTTTAACTTCACCAGCTGATCCCTGGAGATCCTATGCAGGGTCATTATGAGTCAGAACTGACTTGACAACACTTAACAACAACAACAACAATGGTGTCTTTTCTACAAGTGCATGTTGATATGGGACCACAGTATAATCACTTGACCTCAAAGTCAGTTTAAACCACAAGACCAGAGGATCAAACTCACCAGTTGCTCCATGGAAGCCCTATACA